GCTGATAGCTATCCAAGTTCTTTCTGATTTTCAGGAACACTGTCATACAAGTTTCTTTGTGTATGTTTGCAAGAGCTTTTGCCCCTCGGAGTAGAACTGTTGTGTTTGTACACGCACAAGTTGTTAATACTGACAAACTGTTTCACAGTTATTCCAACTGATACCACCAGAGGGGTCAGAGGGGTTGGGGGCCCCACTGCCTTGCCACCACTTTCTCCAATCTGGAGGATATAAAATAGTATCTCCTTGAAATATTTTTTAAAGCTGTTTTTTCCCCCCTCTCTTTTGGAGTAAAATTTGCATACAATATGTACCAATCATAAGTGTACCATCCCATGAGTTTTTACAAATTCACACCTCAAAGAAAGTGCCTTCATAAACATTCCAGTCATTCCCTGCTCCATTCCCTGGATGCAAACACCCTTATTATTTTCTCTCACAGACAAATTTTGCTTGTTCTAAACCTTCATAAAAATGGAGAGACACTCTATGTATTCTTTTGAATAAGATTTCTTTCAGTTAGGTATGATGAGATTCATCCATGCTGTTGCTGGTATCAGCACCTTCTTTCTCTTGGGGTGGTACTCCACTTTATGAGTACACCAGTCTGCTTATCCATTTTCTTACTCACAGACACCTGGGGGCTGTCTCTAGTTTTTGGCTACTACGAATGAAGTTATATATATTATGTACTTCTTGTGTGCATCTTATTTTGTGAACTTATATTCTCCTTTTTCTTGGGTAGATAGATATCTAGGAGTATAACTGCTGAGTCATCAGAAAAGTATACATCTAGCTTTTTAAGAAACTTCCAAATCTTTTTCCTAAGACGTTGTACCATTTAACCCTCCTGCACAGTGTATAAGACTTTCAGTTGCTCTACATCCCTGTTAAAATTTGATGTTACCAAGCTATTTAATTTCAGCCATGCTGTTGGGCATCTCATCATTTTAAATTGCTCATCATTTCCCTGCTGAGTATAGGCTTACTGACCATCCCAATATCTTCCGTTGTGGAGTGCTAGTGTTATAAAGTGTCTTTTCAAATCATTTGTCCCCCTACCCCACTTTTTCATTTCTGATCATCTGTGCTTTTGTTATGGAGTTGTATGAATTCTTTACCTATGTAGTCCCTTGACAAGTATAGGTTTTGTGAATATATTTTCCCCAATCTGCGGCTCATCTTTTTTCCTTAACAATAAGTGTCTTTTGATAAGCCCAAGCTTTTTTTTTTATTCTGATAAAGTCTAAGTCATATTTTTTCCCCCTATGGTTATTGCTTTCTACATTTAAATCTTTGTCTACTTCCAAAGCATGAAGATATTCTCTGATGCTTTCTTTCTAAAACCCTTATGGTTCGAGTGTTTACATTTAGTAATATGACCCATCTCAAATTAGTTTTTGTGTATGGTACAAGATAGGAATTGAGATTCCCTTTTTCCCAATGGATATTTAGTTATTCCAGCACCATTTGTTGAAAAACTTTCCTTTCTCCAATGGGTTGCTTTGGATTTTTCTTGGAAATTCAACGACCACATAACTGTGGGTCTCTTCTGGCCTCTCTGTTCAGTTGCATCAATCTGCCTGTGGATCTTTATGGGAGCACCACACTGTCTTGGTTATTGCATCTTTATGGACATGTTATGAAGTCAACTCCTTCAGCTATGATTTTGAAATTGTTTATGGGATTATTTTCAGTCTTTTACATTTCCATATAACTTTTAGAATCAGTTTGTTAATTTTACAACAACAACAACAAAACCTGTGGGATTATGATAGGAATTAAGTTAAATCTATAGCTCAGTATGGGGAGAACTGTCATCTAACTGAGTCTTTCAATCCAAGACCTGTCATTCTGCTTCATTTATTCAAGGCTTCTTTTTCTCAGTAATGTTTTATTATTTCCAAAGCAGAAATTTTTGCATGTCTTTGGTTAATTTCATTCCTAGGTGTTGTGCTTTTATTAAAAATAGGAAATAGGTATGTTATTGATAATCTCAATTAAAAAATACTCATTATTTATTTATATTCTATACACTAAGCAAAACAAGAACTTCTAAAAATGGGACAAGGACTCCGTGACTTGGCAGTGAAATAAAGGAATGGAGAGAGTCCAAGAACACACATGATGGAAATGGAACAGAAGAATTTTATTAATCCACTCACTTTAAGTATATTCTGTGACGGGGCAAGAAGGGGGTTAAATATGTGACCGCTCTTATCTGGAATTGTCTTGATCCTAGTGTCCTTCACAGAGGACTGCTGCATGAGTGGCCCTTGGTGAACTAACTTCCCTTCATCAGTGTTATTTTCTTATTCACCTAAAATGCTTCATAACTTTTTCATTTCTGTGATTTCCTTGATTTTTTTCTGCCTTATCAGTGCTAGGAGAAGGCTGAGTCTGAGGCCCTTTGGGTTTTATCATCTTTTCTTCCACTTTCCGCCTCACTTGCCTCTCTTCCTCCTCTTTATTAACACCAATGGCCGGCTTATATTCTTCCTCTTCCACTTCTACCTTACTTAAGGATGAAAATTTTCTCACTGAAATAAGCTCTAAATTTTTCCACTTAGTCATTGCTGAGGAATAGAGTCTTAGGCTCATTAACAATTCTTTGGTCAAGTGTTTCTACACCTTCTGAAGAAACCTTATCCAAGGAGTTGCTCACAGTAGGATCAAGAAATATAGCATATTTGGGTAAACTTAACTTGTTCAAATCAATGATCCTTCATCCTTCATCAGATATACTTACATATGAAAGAAACAAAAGATCTCCAGCCTCTTTCTTTTCATTGTTGATCTTGGGCTAAAGACAACTCCAGTTCTTTTTTTTTTTTTTCCATTTCTAGATGTCTACACATTTTTCTGGATTGATTTTTATTTCCTTCATAGGCACTCTCTACTCAAGAAGTTGCTGCACCATTCTTTTTTTCTTCTAAGGGAAGCAAAATTAATAAAGCTTCATCATCTACCTGGCAGGTCTGTATGCTTTGTGAATATGAGTTGGCCTCCTCTGGGCAATCAAACTGAAGAACTCAATTCATGGCCTGAATATCCAACACCCTGACTGCAGTCTCAGTAGCAAAGAGCACTGTTTGTTCTCTTGCAGATAAACTTATTACAGACTTGCATTTTTCCTCATCTCCTGCTATCAACCACAGAAGTTGAGACTAGAAATACCAAAGTATAGGCAGTAGGAAACTCAGTTTAAGATTGAGTCTCTCGACAACTGGAAGAAATATATAATGCTTCTCAAAAATAACAGAAGATACTTATTTCTTACTTCAGTTCAGAACCTTTGTAGTTTTGTTTCAAAAGGACAGCAGTGTTATATTTTACTTTCCTAACCAACTCAAACATATTTAGAGATTTCAAAATTAAGTGCTCAAGGTATAAGGTATTTGTCTTGTTTAACCTAGAAAAAGGCAAAGTCAATGTATTTTAGAAAGTTTTTTTTTTTTTTTAAATAAAAGCATTCAGTGTCAGCAAAGTCCATACCCAAGATGTGTACTTCATCATGAACTAACTTTTAGAGAATGGTACCATAAACATTAATTACTTTATCCTTGTAATAGTTGGATATGTATGCAAACAAGTATATTTGAGGCTGACCCTCTCAAACATCCTGTCTCAGGCCCTTTCCATCAGTGATAAGACTGCTGAAAAGTCATGATTCTTTTCTAATTCTCAGAAAACCAAAAGCCTGAGAAATATATACGTTCTCTCATAGGTAATACCATCAGGACACAGAGTTTATCTGTCAAAGTCTGTTACAAATAATAAAAAACTTCTACTACTGGGATAAGGAAGTCTTCCCAGGTGGCTCAGTAGTAAAGAATCCGCTTGCCAATGCAGGAGATGCAGGTACAATCCCTGGGTTGGGAAGACCCTCTGGAGGAGGAAATGGCAACCCACTCCATATTCTTGCCTGGAAAATTCCATGGACAGAGGAGCCTAGAGGGCTATATATAGGCCATAGGGTCGCAAAGAGTCGGACACAACTGAGCAACTGAGCATGCACATGCCACTCTAGGACAAGGAAATCGAAGTCTTGCCAGATCCTAATTCTGGCAGCTCTAAATACATCTTTATCCTGCAAAGTCGGTTTTTTTGTTTTTGTTTTTTAAATCTGTTCTCTATTATTGCCTCATAAAGGCCCAAAGGAATAATTTTTGAAAAAATTTTAAGTTCAAAACTATCTGCCTGTTGACTTCTACTTGGAGGATTGTTTAGACAGATATAAAAATCTCTAAGTTACTTAATTTTTCTTCCAAATCTTTAAAGTATATTCCATTTTCTTGCACTGATTGAAGGCTGAGGATAATATAATTTCCCCCTTATAAAAACTTCAACCTATCTGCCTGGCTCCCAAAAGGAATGGCTCTTGACCTCTGATGTCCAGCAATTTTACTCAGTACTGACACACAGGATGCCCCTTGAATATACAGGGTCTAGTTGTCTTTTATTTCAGAAGAGATTACTCTCTAAAAATGGGATTTATTTCATTAGTTTGGGTGTCTTGTATTTACAATTACAAATATGATGGACTTGCTCTTCCTGTCTTCAGTATCAACAGTCTACAAACTGGAACCGTATGATGACTAAGAGATATGTGGGCACAGATTGTTTAAAGGCAATCAAATTCCAGATCTTCATCTTCCTATTACTGATCCTTTCTGCAGTGTACCTGAAGCTAAGGTACCACGCCAGGCTTCTTCTCTACCCCACCTTCAGAATCACCCACTTTACAAAAGGAATGAAGACTACTCACTAATCCTGGCTAGTGCACTGCCCTGGAATGTTAAAAACCCTCCAGGAAGCCAAACCTGTAAATGTTCCTTTAATCAAAGCATCACAATAAGGATTTGCTCTCTCCCCATCATACATAAAACATACATATTTTATTAAGGGATGGAGTATGTGGGCCCATGTTAGTATATTACAAATTCAGAAACATAGTAGAATGAAGCAGTAGTGAGAGTGTTTTTACTTAAGGAACTTACCTTCCAATACTTTTATTATTGAAAAAGATACACAACTCAACTCTGGGAGACTTTAGTAAGTGCAAAGCAAGAAATCTTAAGGCAGCAGTATCACCGTATCCAGGCAACACATGGTAAGTCTCTGTGCTTATCTATTTATCTGTATTAGAATTAGAATTCAGCTGTGTGACGGTTGTCATGGAGACATACATTAATATATTTATTTGGGCTGAAAAATCAAGTTGGATTTTTACTGACAGAAGGAAGTCTGATTTGGAAGACGAGTTTAAAATTGACAACTAAGCTATGTCAATTCGATTAAATGGCAATCATTTTCCCTAAATTGAGTGATGTACATTATAGCTTCAAGGTGCCAATGATAAAAGCACATTTCAGATACATGTTAAGACAAAAACTTTCTCTAAAACTCCACCGCATGTTAGTAAATATATATTAAAATTCATTTTCCTAAATAACACTTTGTAAGTAAATTGGGCTAAACAAGGTGCCTCTAAAAATAAAATAGTCATTTGGTAAATCTTAGTTAAGCCTTTTTGATAAACTTCCCCAAATTGAGAAAGTGAAAATACATCCCTTTCAAAGTCAGATGTTTCCAACTCTTTGCTTTCCAAAAATGACTGAGTAATGGAGTTGCCAGTAGACAGATCACTGAAATAACTGATCACTTTTGGATTTCTGGCATGTAACTGAGGATAAAAAAAAAGTTAATAAATGATGCAGTTCTGGCATATTGTAAACACTGATATTTTAAAATCACAGGTATTACATCATCTTTTCAATGTGTATTTGACTTGGCTCACTCATCCCTATGACCTCATTTTTTTGTGTGTCATTTCTTTTCCTTTGCACTCTTTCCAATCTTGTTTACATTCCTTTGGTAGTTTTTTCTTGAACTGTTTTTTTCTGAATTGTGCTTCTGACTTTGTGTGTGTGTGCTTAGTCGCTCAGTCATTTCCGACTCTTTGCGACCCCACAGACTGCAGCCCACCAGGCTCCTCTGCCCAGGAGGATTCTTCAGCAAAGAATACTGGAGTGGGTTGCCATGCCCTCTTCCAGGGAATCGTCTCAACCCAGGGATCGAACCAAAGTTTCCCGTATTGTGGGCAGATTCTTTACTGTCTGAGCCACCAAACAAGCCCTCTAATTTTATAATTAAACTTAACTATAACTATTCATTTGTAACTAATAATTGAACCATTTCCCATTTTGTGTGTGATATGACACAGCAATTAAATAACATACTCTTTCACATGAGCATCTCTTGCACCAACTTGATACACTGAAAAATCTGTCCATCCTTTCCCCCAATGGTCTATAATACCAGTTTTGTTATAAATCTAGGCCCCATATATAGATGGATCTGTTTCTGAATTCTCAATTCTTTCTACTGGCCAATTTGTATATCTTTGTACCATATACTGGCTTTATTATTATAATTTCATAATAAGTCACAATAAAAGGCAAGAAAGACACATTGCCTTCACAATTATTGGACCACTCCTTTACCATATAAGTTCAGAATTACAACGTTAAGTATCACCAAAATAACAACAACAAAGATGAACAACATTACTATCAGTAGTTGTTAAGTTGCTCAGTCACGTCCGACTCTTTGTGACTACACTGACTGCAACATGCCAGGCTTCCCTGTCCATCACCAACTCCCGGAGCTTACTCAAACTCATGTCCATTGAGTCAGTGATGCTATCCAAACATCTTGACCCCCATTGTCACCTTATCCTCCTGTCCGCAATCTTTCCCAGAATCAGGGTCTTTTCCAATGAGTTGTCTCTTCATATCAAGTGTCCAAAGTATTGGAGTTTCAGCTTCAGCATCAGCCCTTCCAATGAATATTCAGGATTGATTTCCTTTAGGATTGACTGGTTGGATCTCCTTGTAGTCCAAGGGACTCTCAAGAGTCTTCTCCAACACCACAGTTCAAAAGCATCAATTCTTTGGCACTCAGTCTTCTTTATGGTCCAACTCTCACATCCATACATGACTACTGGAAAAACCACAGCTTTGACTATACGGACCTTTGTTAGTAATAGTAACCCCAAAGTCTGTTAGGAATTTGATTCTAGGTATATTGAGAGAATTAGCATCTTTGTAACATTGAGTTTTAGAATCCATTAATACAGTGTTTCTCTCCATTAAACTGGTTTGTAGTTAATGTATTTCAATAAAAGTTTATAACTTTGTCAATAAAGGCTGTTGACACTACATTTATTCAAATGCTGTTTATATTGTGCCTCTATTGTAAAACTGTATATTTTTGAAATTTCCCTTTCTGTAGTAACTCTGCTGTGGAGAAACCTGGCAACACCAAATGATGAAGATTAACATCGCTAGTGATGTCATGTGGACAGGATGTGATACGATCATAAGAAAACATCAGACAAACACCTTCCCTGGTGGCTCAGGTGGTAAAGAATATGCCTGCAATGCAGAAGACCCAGGTTCGATCCCTGAACTGGGAAGATCCCCTAGGGAGGGGAATGGCTACCCACTCCAGTATGCTTGGCTGGAGAATCCCCATGGACAGAGGAGCCTGGCAGGCTACAGTCCATGGGGTCACAAAGAGTCGGACATGACTGAGTGCTTACACACACATAAACCCCAACTGAGGTCCATTCTACAAAAGATCAGACCACTGCCCTTCCAAGTGCCAGGTCCTAGAAAGAAAAGAGCAAGAACTTGATGTAAACTGAAACAGACGAGAGTTAACAGTTACATGGGGTATAATCATGAAAGAGAAAAAAGGGCACGGGTAGAAAAACTGAGGAAAATATGAATAAAGGCATAGTTCAGTTAACATTATTGTATCAATGTTAATTTCCTAGTGTGAGAAGCTAAACTATGGCTATATAGGATGTTAGTTATTTCAAAATAAAATGTTCTTAAAAATTACCTCCTCTGTTTTGCTTTTGTTGGCAGTCCACAGAAATGCAACTGGCTTTTCTATACTCATTTTGTATCCAAAAACCTTGCTAAACTCTCTAGTTAATGCTAAGAATTTAGCTGCAGAGTTCTGTAAATTTTCTACATAGACAATGATATCATTTACCAAGAGTGACAATTTTTTTCTTCCTTTCCATTCCTACATCTTTTTTTTTTTTAGGTTCACCCACCCGCAACATTTTACTCTACTGGCTAGGATCTCTGGTATAATACTGAATAGACATGGTGCTATCATGGATCTGTATCTTTTAAGAGTTAAATTATATCTGCTGATAGCCAGTGATCATTTTAATTTCACCAGAATAATGTAAGGAAAATAAATTGCTTTTGCTTTGAACATTTATATCGTAGAGATTGCAATACAATTTGTAAAAATTTTCTAATACTAAAATGTTTATTTGAAAAGCATAAAAAGACATACTGCACAAACTAACATGACAAAAAAAGAAAAGCAATACAGTATTATGTCACTAAAAGAAAATAAAAGTTCTGACACTGACCTTTGTTACCTGTAGACAATTAACAAACTTTCTTTCAGTTCATGGTATGGAGCTGTCATTGTCAAGTAGCTGCCAAGTCAGAGTCCCCAATTCCAAACCATTCTCCCTTGTACCAGAGGAGGTCTTATGCATAGTTTTCCCCCAAAGAAACATTAGTGGAAGGGGACTGAGTGTCAGACCTCAGGTTGAGGCTTTTCAGAAGCAGGTATGGTGGGTTCCTACTCCTTTCTCAGCTGCTGGAGGATTCAAAGGTCCAGGATATAGACTATCACCTATTGATCAAGAACGAGTTCAGTGTACTGCTCATTAGCAATAAATATATTTTAATTAGGTTCAAGCTAATATGTTTTTTGTAGTCCATTTTCTATAGCACTTAGTTTTTCCCAAGTAACATAAAAAATGCTACCTTTAAGTGGCGTGCAAGCAAAACAAAAAATCTAAAATAGATGAGAACTGCTTAGAGGCCCAGCAGCAGGAAAGAGAGAAACCAAGGAAAAGATAGAAACAGTCATGTCACACAGTCACGAATTTTCTTTTTTTAAATAATCAATTGTTAAAAAAATTTGTTTTTGATGTGGACCATTTTTAAAGTCTTGAGTGAATTTGTTACAATATTGTTTTCTTTTACGTTTAGATTTTTTGGCTGTGAGGAATGTGGGATCTTAGCTCCCCAACTAGGGATCAAACTCGCAACCCCTGCATTGAAAGGCAAAGTCTTAACCCCTGGATAACCAGGGAAGTCCCAGTCACAAAACTTTTAATATTAATACAAGTACTGGATTGTGGAAAGGAATCTGTGGTGACAGAAGTCATAAAAGTGGTTGTGCCTCAGAGGGAGCACATCAAAGTGAAACAGCTAGAAAGCAGCTTGCATTGGGGATAATGGAAATGTTCTTTATCTTATTCTTGGTGGTGGTTTACATGGGTGTATACAATTGTCAAAACTCACTGAACTGAAAGCTGTGTGTTTACTGTATGTAAATTATTATACCTCAATTTCTGAAAATGCATGAGATAGCTTCAAAGGCAGAACAAGTGTCTAACTAAGCCTACGCATGTGTGCTCAGTTGCTTCAGTCATGTCTGACTCTTTGGGACCCCGTGGACTATAGCCTTACCAGGCTCCTCTGTCCATGAGATTCTCCAGGCAAGAATACTGGAGTTGGTTGCCATGCCCTCCTCGACCCCTTGACCCAAGGACCGAACCAGGGTCCCTTAGATCCCCTGCATTGCGGCAAGTTCTTTACCACTAGTACCACCTGGGAAGCCCAACTAAGACTATAGCTGTAAGGGAAAAGAGACAGAAAACAGAACATTAGAATAACATTATTACTTACTGTATTCATTGAGAATTTACAAGAAAGAAATCTGCATGGGCAACAAACAAATAAGAGGTTTGAGAGCAAAACTGAAAGGGAGCAGAGAATCCAGAAATCTGGAGGCTCCCAGAGTTAGAAAATTTGACTGCTTCTGGACTATACACAGTAAAAGAGGAGACTGAAAAAGGCTTTGTGCAAAAATGGCCTTTTACATTTTCTATTGTGAATGGAGGGAAGTCAGCCTTGCTGTCGATCAGGCTGAGCACAAGAACTTCCTGTGAAACCTATTTCAATTGGCCAACCGAGGACCCCTGTAAGCTGAGAGATGGGGGAATTGCAGGGAGGAAGCAAAGGAGTAAATTAGGTGTGGGACTCTCTGGTGTGCTCTTTTGGCTAGAGTGACAGTACAGAATTTATTGTCCAACCCAGGACAGTTTTGAGAGTGAAAGAGGGCATTATTACTTAACATGCATGAGTGCTATTAATATAAACTGAGACTGTCCGTGCCAGACTGGGACACCCAGTCCCTCTCTTACTGGCAAATGGAGTCAACTACAAAAAGGCGGATCAGAAGCCAACTAAGTTTCTGAGGGCATAACAAGGACCAAAACTTCACAAGCCTTGCCTCTAAGCTGCTGGCTGACTCTAAAAACAATGTGCAAGCTGCCAAAACTGCATGGTCAGAGAGTAGGGTAAAAGGTTACACAGCCCCCAGTATATGCTGCATGCTGAGTCGCTCAGTCACGTCCAACTCATTTTGACCCCGTGGACTGGAGCCCGCCAGGCTCCTCTGTCCATGGGGATTCTCTAGGCAAGCATACTGGAGTGGGTTGCCATGCCCTCCTCCAGGGGATCTTCCCAACACAGGGATTGAAATCAGGTCTCCTGCATTACAGGAGGATTCTTTACCAGCTGAGCTACCAGAAATGCCCAAATAGCCCCCAAAGAGGGTATATTTCCCAATGACCACCTAACTGTGGACTTGGAAGAAGATGGGCAAAGAACCTTCCTGTAGACAGAGATTCAGGTCCCAGAGAACAATGTACAAAGGATTTCCATTTGAGAGCAGGGCCAGAGTCTAGTCAAGGGATATCTTCTACCCTAGATGAGAGATCTTCCAAACGCTTCTTGCCATTTCTTTTTTTTTTTTTTTGGTC